AGTTTTGAATGTCTCCAGAGAAGGAGACTCCACAACCTCCCTGGGCAGCCTGTGCCAGGGCTCTGGCACCCTCACAGGGAAAAAGTTTTTTCTAATATTTTTGTGGAACCTCCTATGTTCCAGGTTGTACCCACTGCCCCTTGTCCTGTCACTGGACATCACTGGGAAGAGCCTGGCTCCGTCCTCCTGACACTCCCCCTTGACATATTTATAAACATTTATGAGGTTCCCCCTCAGCCTCCTCTTCTCCAAGCTAAAGAGATCCAGCTCCTTCAGCCTTTCCTCATAAGGGAGATGTTCCACTCCCTTCACCATCTTTGTGGCTCTGCGCTGGACTCTCTCAAGCAGTTCCCTGTCTCTCTTGAGCTGAGGGGCCCAGAACTGGACACAATATTCCAGATGTGGCCTCACCAGGGCAGAGTAGAGGGGGAGGATATATATAATCAAATATAATCAAATTAATTGGATACTTGGTCCAATGTATTTATGTTCTCCTCTGCTTACACTCTTTGTTGTTGCTTTTATTATACAGTTTAAGTGTACTGCCTACAGTTAATCCATCCACACTTGAGAAGGTGGGTTCATGGCTGTCCACAAAAGTCTCACACACACGGGTGGCTGAGGGGCTGCTTACGGTGCGCCTGAGGAGGGCAGCTCCCACCCAGCACTAGCAAAGAGACCCCACACTGGCTGTGAGCAGCCATGAGCAAGAGTCTACGAACTGTCAACAAAACCACCATCACATGGATCCAGAGCATCCTTGGGGGTTGACACTTGGCTTTGGAAGTCAATTTAGAACAGCGTAGGGAAACCACACAGCTACCAGGTTCACTCCATACACATAGGATTCCATTTGCTTTTGTCTCTCCCACGCTTTGGTACTGTGCAGAACACTCAAGAACAAACAGACACCAACCTTCACCAGCAAAATTCGAATTAAGTCCATGTATCAATGAAATCATAAAATACACACATTTCATAGCCAGAGTGGCAATCGAAAATGGAAAGATGAAAAAGATTCTGAAATTGAACTAAATGGAAGATTCCAGAGTGATGCTGGTGAGATGTTTCTGGACTGTTTGTTGCTGTCTTAGATTAGTCTCATTTGAAGGAGGGTATTGTTCCTTCAAATTCTATTTTAGCAGTAATCTTGATTGTAAGACCTTTAACTCCACCGATGAGAGGAAAAATTTTGAGGATAAGAAGAATACTAATCAAAGCCCAGAATCTGACCATCTGTGCTCCAAGAACTAAAACGATATATCTGACAAGCAGTTAGCTTAAAGAGTCTTCTAAATATTAATATCTAGGACAAAACAAAAGGAAAAAAAGAACAAATTACATTTACGTGGACTTAGATGGCAGGTTCTTGGTGCACAAGCAAACAGATCTTAAAAGCTGCTAAATTTTCATTCTCAGGTCACTAGAATTTTTAATTCTGAAAGTGTTTGTGTTATGTTGATAGGCTATCATCAGAAGCAACTGTCTGATGCTGAAAATTCTAGTACACTAATTTTATATAACCTTAAGTGTCAGCATATATGTTGCTGGCTTCAGAGTAACAACACAGATAATTCTATTAAAAAAAAAAAAATTACCACATTAGTATACAGAGAAGTTTTTAACCTCTACTAGAAACACAAAAACTAATATTTTTTGTTTGCACTGCTTCAGACACAGTGTAGTTCACACTTGACCACTGATATTTAAGTCCTTCAATTTGGGGAAGCAAGGCCTCTAAAGTGGCCAAAAGCCAGCTTGCACCAAGGACCTCTCTTACAAACAACGTGGTTAAAAACGGATGGTTACAAAACTCAAAATCCTGAAAAATAAAGAGCAGCCAAGAGCAGTTAGCGCTGCACAGTTCATTAAGATTCTCATGATAAAGGAAGAAAACCACAGTTGACCCACAGACCGAGATGCTGACGAATGATCTGCTCACCAACAGCGGGAGCCATGGAGAAGCCTGCTGCTCGCACTCGCTGCACAGAGAGCAAAGCACTGCACACTGTGAGGTGCTGGGGTTTCAGCTGGCAAGAGTAAAAGAGTTAACGAAAAAAAGAAAGGAGTCACTGTTGGAAGAGTCCCAGTGGTAAACAAAGTAAATCAGGATGCGAACACTGCTGCTGCAATGCACAGTTTGCAGCAAGAATAAACTTCTGAAGGGGAATGTGAAGGTGGCCCTCCCACTGGGCTACCCAGCTACAGCACAGATTCAGCTATCTTTGCCATAAGCCACAAGGGGACACAGTCCACAAAGTCAGGAGTCCATGTCACACCAACTTAATAGCAAAAAGTAAATGCAGAAGTTCAAAAAGTGAAGTTTGTGTTCCTGATGGCAAAGTTAATAAAGACAGTTTTGAATTTCCCCATGGTTTTTTCTGATGGCATGTTATACCTCCTGATCAGGAACAATATTTCTTCTTGTCTTTGACTTTTCTTCTTTGAATTTTTAAGGCAATTGTTTTTTCATTGTAAAGCTTCAAATAATAATTTAAGAGATTTTTGACTGTGCTGTATTTACTATAATCTCTTGCCTGCAGCACTACCACAGGAGAACTCCAGCAAAAAGAAAGTTATTAATAAATAATAACACGTCCTCTGCTATTTATCTAGTAACAATGAAAAATAAGTGTAACTCTAACCAACCCTGGCATTCAAAAACAGTTACCTGCTTTTTATAAACCCTAGCTCAGGAGTTAACTTTACTGCAGTATACCTTAAGGTTTAAGTGCAACAGATCTCTGGTCACAGCGAAATCCACCTACTGTGATTTATTTCACCAGCTAAGGCGATACAAATAAATAAGGAATTATTTCTCCCCAATTATACAGGCTTGGTCAATGTAGAATCAGAATGTAAAAAGCTGCTGTTGCCAGTTCCTCTGACCCAACCTTTAGGGCATGCAGCGTGCCCTAGCTGGCACTCCTAAGTCCTCCCTATTGCTTAGGCAGCCCTTCACCCAGGACACTTGGGGTGCTCAGCTCCCCAGGGGTGCTCCTGCCACCTTATCAAGCAGTAGGAGTTAACAGCAGCATCTTATTGCAGGGTTGTGAGGACACTCCGCTTCAGTAACAAACCAAAGGACTAGAAATCAGATTCCACATACCCTTCATTAAACTGGGCTTATATTCGCTGTAATGCTCATAAAACCACCAGGACATCTAAACTATTTAGCAGTCCCATTTAAACTGAGACACAAGTCTGGAGTTTGGTATGATTTTCTGTAGTTAAAAAGATAACCCAGCAGCAATAGTGTTACATGCTCAACATCCTTTCTCAGAGTTTGTGCCACACAGCGCAGTTTACAACTCAGCTGCAAGTGGAACCTTGGAATGACTCATACACAAGCCAGTTACCTTCACAAGCGATAGAGACACCTGGAGGTGTTTAAAGAACAAATAGATGTGGCGCTTTAGGATATGGTGTAGTGGTTAGAGAAATGCGGGGAAAAAGGTTGGACTTGATGACCCTGGAGGTCCTTTCCAACCCTAATGATTCTGTGATTCCATGATTCAGGCCTTCTCTGTCTGTAAACTTCCCTCAGTCTGATTTAAAAGTGTTAACTTCATTGAATTATGCAAGCAAGTACAAGCAGGAACCTAAGTAACTAAATGAAACCGAAGTAAATCTCTCAAAAAATACACGTGCACACAGGCACACAGATGCCTGTCAGTTGTGCTAAACAAAAACTCCGATTATGGGACTTAGATTTCTGAGTTCATAGCAGAACGGGCCTATGCAACACCCACAGTGACCAGCAGCCACCCTGTACACTCCTCACAGCAGAAGGCAGCTCCAGGCTGGTTGCTGTTAGGTAGCGATGCTGCAACAAACAAGTGGAAAGGCTGGGGCACTGACTGCTCCTGGGAAGGGCTCTCTGTGTCACACAGCACCAGTCCAACTCAAAAGTGAGCTGAAAACCCGGCAGAGGTATTTTGCTATTTGAGCAACGGGTTGTATCTAAGTTCACAGGACATCCGTTAGGGCCATTATATAAATCTAGTTCAGTAAAAAGCTGCATGCAGACACAGCCTTCGCTCCTGAAGCACCATTCCACAAGTAGAGTGAGTGTCACTGCTATGGAGCAACACTAGGTACTGAGTAAACAGTTCAAGATGTCCTGGAATCCTTAAAGAAACACTACAACCAAAATTATCACCTTTTGCACACTTAAAGTAGTACACTTGGCAAGAGAAAAACTTTGAAGGTGCTGATCACAACTACTGATCTTCTCCATATCCTTTTTAAAGTGCTCCTATGATCCACATGGAACAGAAAGTATCCCTGATCTCTATTCATCCTCTCACACTCATCACAAATATATGTAAAAATATAGTGTAATGGGGGTAACGGCAGTATTAAGAAGTATATTAGTTAGGCATCTTCTTGCTCCAGTTAGTCCAAGAAAAATATTTTTAAAAAAAAATAAAAAAATCTACAGTTTCATTACCTGAATTCACATAAGTGAAAATAACCACCTAACAATAGGACCAGTTTCAACTGAAAATCACGTCTTTTACACCGAAATTTCAGTAGAGCAAAGCAAAAGTGAAATCACCAAGACAATACTGTCTTCATTATATGAAAATACTAATTTAAATGTCCTTTTTCAAGGAAATCTCCTGATTCTGAATATAGTATAGGTGTGAACATCAGGACTATAAAAATATCATGGAGCAGATGTTGCAGAAGTTTCTTCAGTGAAGACATGCAAGACAACTAAACAGCTGTCAGATGTAGAGGACTTCTGGGATTCCTCATAGTCCTGCTTTTGAACAATTCCAAGAAAAACTCACTTCTTTAGACTCTTGAAAACCACTGCCTCAGAGTCAACAGATAGTATGCAAGTCAGCTTCCTATTTAAAAAATAAAAGTAAAAATCTCAGTTTGGCTGGGGAATTGCTATTAACAGAAACTAGTTATCTATAAATTTACCTTCTCGATACTCCAATTCAAGCACCTTGTATCTTGGCTTTATTCTGCTGAACAGCTGACTACTGAACACTGCTTTACTGTTCTACTGTTGTGGTCTGTCTATCTGCCTTTCATGCTGACAATATTAAGTACTTAAAGTATTTATCTTAGCATATTTGTAAAAACAACAGTTCATATACACTCATCTGAAGCAACCTAGGCACATCTTAAAACACCGTCATTTTATTATGACCATATTTACTACCAAGGTGCTAAATAATTCCATTCCAGTATGATCACACATTCAACTTGCTTGGTTCTAACTTAAGAAAATGTAACTTTTGGTAACATTGCCCTTATTTTCTCGTTCTCATGTATCTACAATGGAGCACAAGCCCTTACATCTAAACAATACACTTCAATCGGGTCATTAATTAGAAAACTAATTTAATCAACAAGTAGATACAAAAACATTCCACAGGCATGAGCAGAGAAAAATCTTTGTATGCTAGCACTATTTAATTAACACAGAGAGTTTTGGTTTTAAGTGTTGCTGCTTATTACAAAACAAGACAAACTTCCATGTTCACTGAACATATACAGAATTTTTTGTAGGTGTCAAGGATAATATACATGGACTCAATATACCAAATTTCTTAGAAAATGAGCAGAACTTACAGAAAATGATGAGCCATCCTTTGAAACTGCAACTGGGTAAATTCCATCTTCTAGATGCACAGAGAGCTCCCAGCTACTTCTCTTTGATTTAGCAATAGGAATTCTAAAAAGGAAACAGACAGAAGAAGAATTTTTAACAGAGATTTCATGCCCTTCCCATTTTAACCAGAAGTGTGTGCCTCATAGGATGGTCACGAAGAATATAAAATATCATTAATCTACAGACACAGTTGGGGAGCATACTTGGAAAAAAAATACTAAATACATTTTTTTTCTCTCAAATGGCACATAAGGAGAAAATACATTGTACTTTCTTTCTAGATTTGCCTTGACATACTGGGTACACTGATAAAGTTATAGGAGGCTCTTGAATACAGCCAGCACTTGCTGCAGAATTGGCTCAAACAGGATGAAAAGCAGATGAGAAAGTGGGTTGGCACAAGAATAGCAGCAGTGAGAGCTGGAACATTCTTTTTAAAGGCAAAATATAATCACTATTTCTTTCATCCCATTCTCAGTAAACCTTAATTAAAGGCCAAGTACAGACAAAAGATTCAGCCAAGCAAATAATACAAGTAATTTTATAATTAATATACATTTTAGGGTATCTCATCCACAGAGTCCTTCAAGCAAATTGAAAAAATAATGATACATCATCACAGCCCACATACAGGATTATATGCCTATTCCTGCACCATTCTGTGGCTAATACAAGAATACAGTCAATGCAAGAAACCTGAATCTTTTCAACTTCAGCTTAAAGAAACACACCTGACAGCAAGAGAATGAGACCTGAGTCTCCATTCTTGGCAATTCAAAGTGAAACAACTAATTTTCAGCTATTTTATTTAAACGTGTATTCAATTTCAGTTTCCTCATCCAGCTTCTCAAGTCACAGAATCATAGAATGGCCTAGGCTGGAAGAGACCTTATAGTTCATCTAATCCAACCTCCCTGTCATGGGCAGGGACGCCTCTCGACTAGATCAGGCTACTCAAGGCTCTGTCCAACTTGGCCTTGAACACCTCCCCGGAGGGGGCAGCCACAACGTCTCTGGGCAATTTATTCCAAAGACTTGCCACCCTCGTGCTGAAGAATTTCTTCCTAAGATCTAATCTAAATCAATTCTCCTTCAACTTAAACCCATTTCCTCTTGTCCTATCAGTGGACACTCCTGTAAAAAGTCCCTCCCCAGCCATCCTGTAGGTTCCCTTCCGGTATTGGAAGGAAGTCTCTCCAACTTTGTTGTAAGAACTGCCATCCGAAGGTTTGCTACAACTTTTCTCATGAATGGTCGCCTTACGTTAGTATCAGCAAGCACCAAGTAGCCTAAAGAAAAGGTACAAAGGTGGGGATTAAACTCCATTAAAATAAAAACACATCATTTTGCTATAGTTTTTCTTCCATACTGACTTTCTCTCATGTTTAGGTTCTCCATAAGAAATCTATAGAGACAGTTCATCGCCTTTAGGTTTCCTCTTAAGGATAATTTCTGCTGTAATTGTACACTGTGGAGCTTACTACAGCATTTTCCTGCAATCTCTAGAGTCTTAAAACTTGAAAACACATCTTACTGTGTTGTGTCGTGTTGTGCTGAGGGACATGGTTTAACGGTGTTGATAGGGCTAGGACAACGGCTGGACTCGATCTTGAAGGTCTCTTCCAAACAAAACTCTAGATTCCTATGTCATGCATCCTCCTGAGGACTCAGGTGCCCAGTGAATCACACCTCCCCAAAGGGAGTGCTCAGGTTCCCTGCGGAATCAGCAGGCAGAAGCACCTGTGAGGACCTCCAGAAGCCACAGGAGGAGAAATTATCTGCATAAGCCAAAGATAACGCATTAACTTGCTAAGGATTTCAACAATTATTTTAAGAAGGCTAAGGTTTTAGACATCTGAAATCTAAGCAAGCACAAGTTCAGGATTTCACCAAACATCTTAGTTCACATCTAACTATCAGTACCTATTAATTTCATTAAAACAGATATGGAAAATAACTTCTTCCCATACTAATGATGCCAAGCGTTACCTTTCACGTTTAACATACAGCAACGATTGTCGAAACAACAAATTTGAGGAAACATCTATGGCTTACTGGGTGCAACGACATTTCTCAGCACCTCATCTTGAAATTCCCGTGTGTCGCCAAAACATTTAGACTGGCCGGTAGGAAATGCGACAGACACAGAAGTTCCTGATGAGGAGGAACAGGAACTTCCTGCTCAGGTAGCAGGCAGCAAGCTGCGAGATGTTTCCATTGCGCTTCCTGGTGCCAGAGCACCAGGAAGGAGGAATGCAAGAACGTTTCGGCGCAGCTGGGTGAAATTCTCCATGGCATTCCACCGCAACAACCAAGAGGAGCTTGTGGTTTATAGCAACTTTGTATTTCTTGCCTAAGAGGGAAGAACTCATCTCAAACACAGCTCAGTAGATCCACTTTATCGGTGGCACGAGATTCCTTGCAGCCTGCCTGGCATGGCCCCGCTTCATATTGCATTTGACCGGAAGTGACCTCATGAATCTGGCTGCTGGCCATCAAAGGGAAGACAGTCTTGTTCTCCAGCAGGGATTATTTTTGTTCGGCCCTGTCTTGCTGAGCTTTGTCAAGTGTATCTCCAAACAGGATGCACGCCTCTTGAAAGGCATGGCTATGATCACTGCTTGCCTGGGTTTCAAGCAGCCACGCAGACACATAATTCCTCTTTCCGCAACACCGGTGGTCAGGAGAGCAAGGTCCAGAGCTGCGTCTAAAACCAAGCGTGCAGCAAGCTGGACTTCCCTTCTGGAATTGCTACATCCACTTGCACAGGGACATTTTCCAGCTTTGCTAATCAAACGCCTGTGGCTCTGTAACTGTAACCCGGTTATGCTGGCTAAGACTTACCCACATTAGCTCACAAGAATTCTGCTTTTTCTTCATTGTATCAAATTCCTTTCCTATAAACTATCTTGCAGTAGACTCCATTTTTGATACAAGGGTTTTTTTATTTCCTATTAGTAAGGATCACAAAGTCAAAAGTCCAAGTTTCTTGGATATGGAAAGAGAGTTGCTAAAGTCTGTGAACTACATTAGAAATGCAGAAATTTCTATCGGGTTAAAAAGTGGGCTTCTTGGTAGTTTTTTTTGTTGCTGTTTTGTTTTGTGGGGTTGTTTTATAAATGTCTGAGACGTCTCAATGCATGGGAAATAATCTCTTTTTTCTTGGCCAAGGTTGCTTCCTTAGCTGAGAACTCTTCTAAGTCCTCCAAAGGGAAAACATCTGGACTTCTGAATATATTTTCCACTAGCTCACAGAAAACTCTCTAAGCTTCTGGCTATTTTTAAAAAAGTAGAACTTAAAATTCTACATACTGGGCTGAAAACTGACATATTCTATTTAGAGAAAAAAAAATACTGAAAGAAAAAATGACATCATTTTTTACCATCACAAAGGGCACAAAAATCAGCACTTCCCCTCCAACCCTAGATTCGGAATCCACACAATATGTCTTTGATAGGGTTCAACACGCCCTCTCTTTCTTCTCACAGCTTTGGCAAATGACGTATCGTCCAAAAAATTATTTTCTTTGCATTGAGAGATCACTGGCTGCGGGAAGAAATGCAAGTTCAGCTGCAAGTTCCAGGTGAATGGGAAGCAGGGCCATAGAGAGCCGGGTGCTGTTGTCCCTTGCCAGGAGCACGGGACGCAAAAGAGAGAGCAAAGGCAGCGCAGCGTCGGATGGTCTCCACTCCGTACAGAAATCGGCACTTCTGAACTTCTCTTACTCCCTATTGCCTTCTAAAGGGAAGCACTGCAAGCAGTAGGGGCCCAGAGGAAGAGTACGGTGATGGCCCGGCTATAAGTAATAAACGCATTGAAGCCATAAAAACATGTAAACAGTGAGAAAACCAGCAGTGTTTGCCTGCTTATTTATTTTCAGCCTCTCTTGCTGTTTGTTCAGCTACAGATGATGTCATGCTCCCATAATATATTTCATACATTGCACAGTGTATTATGTCCATTTTAGCCCCAGCTGCCAAGACAGAGAGAAGGAGGGAGATACTTTATAATAATGCAGCAATTATAGTCCCTGCTTTCTTTCTAAGTTTTCAGCAAGGAAAGTAGAGAACTGCTAAAAATTTTAGATCGACACACACTTACTGTGCTCATGGAAAACAGACACTAGTTAAACTATTATCTATTCTAGTAAAAAACAAATAACAAAAGAAAACAGACATTCACAAAAGCAAGTCAAGTAATAACTCTGCCCTGGCCTGTCCATTTTGATTGTCATCAACCAATCAGATAGAAGGAACTCAATAAAACTGCAATTTTCTGCAGTTTGGGGCAAATAAACTCCCCTTTTCCGATTACTGTTGATGATGTAATGAGCTATGACAAATGTCATCAGCTCCTAAAGGGTCAGAAAATGAAGTATAGATTTTTTATTTTTTTTTCCTTCCGATTCAAATAGTGAATTTTAACGTTGAGGGGAAAAAAAAAAACTTACAAATTCTCTACTTCAGATATTTTTGCCGCATAATACTTTACATAAACACAAAGAAATCCCAAACTATCATAACAAATTCTCCCATTATGAAAGATTATAAGCGTTTGAAAACCACATTATATGACACCCCATAAAGCTGTTTTTCAATTGTGCAATTACCTATTCAGCAGTTAAATAAAAGTGAAATATTGACTTAAAACAATGTTAATGGTCAAAGAATCATTAAGAAATCCTTCATCATAACTTTCACAGCAGGCGGCCTGTAAAATGATCAAGAATAATGTGCTGGATTCTGTAGCCACCAAGGTCAGTTTCTGCATACAAATCTTTGCAGGGGGAGAAAAAAAGACCTTCAGAAAGTGGGCCATTCATCTGAACCAAGTTCAGAGAATTTCCAGCACTGTGAAAAGATATGTTATGCAAGCACATAGATGTATTCAGTGGGGGTAGACTGAACCAGCTACATGGAGACTACAAAGGAGCCCTCCCATGGCTCATGAATAAGTCGAGGAAATGATCAGAAAAAAATGGAGAGATGTTTAGACAGATGGCCCACTTAAAATGCCTGGGACAGGGCATAAGCAATTTTAATGAAACTTTAGATCTACCATA